ATGCCAATTAACAAACAAAAACTGAATACATAAAATGCCACAGTCATGTTGACAGAAAATGTCTGGAAGACACAAGAAGCCAAATTAAGGACCTGAATCGATGCGTGGTAAGTTTGCCAATGGCTGAGCGCAAGTCATCGATGGCACGGACGTCGTTGCTTGTTGGGGTCAAAATGTTCGATTTGATAATAAATAAGACTTATCTAGCTAATGCCAGCCTTAGTCTAATCTACCATCAAGGTCAGGATCGAAGTATGATCGTCACAAGGATCAGAAACCTGGCTCCTCGGAGATAAACAGGCTTGTGAACTTTGTGTGCATGCAGTCGAGTTTTCAGAGGTTTTGCCAATAACCAGACGAAGTAAACAGGCGGGCTTTGTGCAGATATTCAATGTTATGATAATCAGATAAAGGAATAAAGAGAATAAACCATTACAGCCTACCAGCAGTACTCCCATCATCCAGAAGGATTACTTCCTTCAACATCTTCGGAGGGCTTCTATTTACAACGGAGAAGGCCGTACGGAGAACAAGTCTGACTGGCTCATTGTTAAAGATAAGGATAACACTGGCCGTGGGGAGCTGATCAGGATAGTTTACAGCCAAGCACCTGCAGACAAAAATCGGTCAATACAAGGGAAGCTAACGTACTCGGGAGCTGGTCGGTTGCCTAACGATCGATCCAGAGCGATTTGCGCACAGGCCATACTGTTGTACCCGTCCTCATCGATAAGTTCTTTCATGTGGCTTTCCGATATTTTCAAATGTACGCCTCTGCCATGCTCACCCGGACCACTGCGATGTGGTTCATTCGCTATGTAGGTGTTAAATCTAGCCGCTCTGTAGGCGTAGATGGAGCTGTTTATCCCCAAGGCTTGTAGCTCCGCTGAGCTGGCATATAGCTCCACTCGTGGATCCTCGTGGAGAAGGAGAAAGAGCAGCAGGTGAGTGCTGAGTACCAGAGAGACCCATGGGAGAAGCCGCCGACTGGTAGATCTCCGGTACATTTAATACCTAGCCGCCCAAAGTGTCAATGTGAAAGAATGTGGTAGAAACAGAGAACTCTAAAATGTTAAAGGAAGAAAAACAGGAGGAAACAGGGGAAATAGGTGTTCCTGTGCAATAAAGAGTTGGTCTCACTGAACCATTTGCAAGATAAAGGGCAAAGACAGTCTTGGATATGCCCTCTGCAAATAGGAGCATTTCCGAAGCTCGAAAACTGAGGCACTTGCAACCTACTAGACCCAGGATGTCGGCAATGCCAATCGCGATTTGCCCGCGCCGAGTGAGTGAGTGGGAAATTGAGGCCCTCGACGCTGACGCTTCGTGGGACAAAAGCTGTCCGGAGAACATTCCTAACAGTTATCATGATCCGAATGTAACACAAATTTAATCAGAGGCCTACAATATTCTAAGTCGAATCTAAGATGAAGTTGCCACACCTTTATAATTACTAACGCTGCTGAGGCCCTGATAACATTTTCCTGGCAAACTGTAGGAAACGGTTGCCCCTTAGTTGCTGCCATTGCGGGCTGATGGCTTACTGGCCCGATAGTAATTTTCTAGAGTAAGTCTACAGGAGATCTTCTAGTTCCCTCTCGTGCAGCCAGGCCCTGATTGGCGAAAGTAAAAACTGATTTCAATCGAGGTTAATAGAACACCGAGGCCCTTCTGTTCATCAACATTTGAAAGGCAACGTCCATCGCGAAGGTATTAGACAGAATCATCATCTCTACAGTGCTAAGACGGAATCTGAGGGGACACCACTTAAAACAAAGGTAAGGGTTGACTTCGAGACACCGATGCACACAGCGTGCGACCGCCCTGTGAGAAAATCTGAGGTCCATGTTAGCGGGATTCCCCTTATCCAAATTCTAGATAATTTTTACATTAGACATTTATGTAGGATGTGTCAAACGCCCTCGTGAGATTAGTGTCAATGACGTCATCCCCACCATCTTCGTCTACCGTGTGAGTCCACTGCTCATTCGGGAGCAATGGGTTGGAAAGACAAGATTGGTTCCGCCTGAAGTACTGTTGGAGCCCTGAGAGTAACTTGTTCTCCTTCAGGAACTCTATTTTCGCCTGCTTTGTAATAGTTTCCATCATTTTGCAGTTAATACAGGTTAGGCTGATAACTGTTGACCTTCGTCCGAGCTCCACCCTTGTATATCGAATGTGTATTTGCAGTCTTCCATTCGGATAACAGTCTCCCTAATTCAACTAACAAATGGAAGATGTGCGCTATTGGTTTGGAGAGCTCACTTGCCAATTCTTTCAAGAACTTGGATGGTGTGTCATCCGGTCCGGAGGACTTTACTTCTTTGAGGTTTTGTAGCTCTCGTTCCACTACAGATGTCGGAGAGAATAGGGATTCAAGCGCTAGACCAGCGTTTACAACAGCTCTGTTGACATTATGAAACTGAAGCTAGGTTTCTCTGGTGAATACTGAGGCAAAGAACCATTCACAGTACTCGGCTTTCTCGTCATTTTCAACGACTTCTACGCCATTATCATCCTTAATTACTGTGACCGGAACCTTGCTCTTTTAGTCCACTACAAATATAGTAGAATAAAATTTGGGGCTTATTTTCAACCTATGGGATACTTCTTGATTCATAGTTCTTCCTTGCCTGAAGGATAAATCTTTGACTGCATCTCATTGGCAACGAAATTCATCGAGGTGTACTGGTGACTCAGTTCCCGTGAATAACTTCTATTTCTAATTTTTCTTCTTTAACTTTCTGCTAAGGTCTCTTGTCAACCAGGTAGGGCGACTAGTCGTCTTGTGTACCTTCATGTTTCATGTTTCATCAGTAGAGGGTAGGGAACGGATCCGTGGGAACCCCTTCTTTGCAGTCACCGGACATGTGGGAGTTTTCAGGTTAGACCAATCCCCCCGCCAAAGCAAGGGCACTCCCGTAAACGGTACAGATCATGTTTCAAATAGGGCATCGTATTTATTCTTGAATACGGCAATTGTGTTGGCAGCAACAACGTCGGGGGGAGATTGTTCCATGCATTC